AAACGTTTCGGGCTCAGCATCAGCTAATGCTGAGCGGAGACACACAACAAGCACCGTTTTACCACTAATAGTGGTAGATTCATCGACCAAAACACAGAGTTTTCTTTGGTTTTCTGTAATGTCTTTTGCCATTTTTTTCTTCAGCTCATGAGCTATGTGGTCGATGATTTCGCCACAGGTTTTATTGGAGTGCAAAACCCTGCCCACGTTCAGCCCATTCAGTTTCTGTACATTCAAATCAATTGGCATGTCTGTGAATGGCCGGCTATGTTTGCCAATTTTATATGCCGTTCGAAAAACTCTGATAGTGGTGTCTAATTCAGATTTATGCATAGACTGCACTTGATGTTGAATAGTTTCACATGAAGCAGATGTAAGGATGTCAGCAGCTTTGGCTTGTGATTCTTTATGTTCTTTGATTTTTTTTCTCAGGCTAGCTTGTTGTTTGCCCTTGTCAACACCGAAATGAGACACTGCACACTCACCCCATTCAGTTGACAGTTTCAGTCCTTGTCCAGTGTGTATTCCCAAAGATTTGACATCTCTGCATATCCGACATCCTAGCTTCTTATCTTTAAGAAGGAGCCATGCATTGGTCTTGCAAAAATATTGCACCTTGTCCGTTGTCCAGCAGTCAGGTGCATCGCTTTGCCCGGTGTTGGTGGTGGCAGTTGTGCCAGCAGCAGCTAACGTTAGAGGCTCTGGAGGAGGCGGCGGAGCTAATGCTAATGCACTAGAACTTGGAGCAGGAGGATCAACCAAAGAAAGCTCCCCATCAGACACAATTTCCAACACAGGCACAGCATTCTCTGTATTTGAAGTTTCTTCCGGCGACAACCGCTGTCTTTTTGCACTTTTATTAATCCACGCTAACATTTTAGAAATGCTAATTTGTGACGTGACTTGCTTTCCTTCTCTCGGGGGCGTGCCTGCTCTGTTCTATCACTCTACATAGCCACCCACTGGGTGGGAGTTGCACTGCATAAACACAACACACGTGCATCTAGGTATGTAAATTGTAAAGCATTAAAACATGGTTTTACTAACAGTTTTCCGTATGTTGTTACTTCGGCATTATTATTATTATTATTTTGAAACGTGTATTACTATTAAATCACGGTCAAATAGGTTAATTTTGACATAGTCGTTTCCACCACAGTATTTACATGGAGAATATAAGCCCCGCCCCCTCTCCAGCACGTTCTGTTTGAATGACAGGAGTAAACAGCTGACAGCCGCTGTGAAACTCCAGCGGTTAGAGCGATGAGAATGTCCGTTCGGCACCTCATGACGCATCTACTGAGTACCGGGCGGCTGTATATATATATATGGATGTATAATAAGAACGGCGGGAGAGTGTTGAGTACTGGCACGGTGCATGAGTACCGGAGTACCGCCAGCATGCCGGTACTGAGCAAGAAGTGCCGGTACTCCATGGGTCAGAACCAGAAGTGCCGGTACTGCGTACCGGTGAGTACCGGCCCAATTCCAGCACTGGGCATAAGGCACAAGACGAACTGGCACAGGACAAAGGGAGACAGGACTATTTATACTAAGTGGGAACAGGTGGAAACAATCCAGGGCGGGGCAGATGCTGACGATGGCGGGAAAACACACAAAGGGAGGAAGTAAGGGGACCTGAAATGAGAGACAAGAGGTAAGTACAAAATAAAACAGGAAGTGCAATGACAGGACTAGACAGGTGAACAAAAAGACTTGACTAAACATAAATCTAACCTGGGCTATGAACTAAACGTGAAACAATAACATGATCCTGATTAACATGACATGAATAATTTAGCAGACATGACGGGATGTTACAGAGACACAGCCTTTAAGTGTAAAAGTATTGTACTGTGTTTCACTTTTGGCATGTTAGCAGGTCCCACGGTTGGTATCCCAAAAATCTGAAAGAAACAGGTCAAGCTCAGCAGCAGCAAAGACACAGACTGTTTGCTCTATTACAAATATATTACAGAATGAATCCCCAATTGAGGTGCCACTTATGCATCGACAACCAATCAATGCTAAGCTTATGTTATTCCAATAAACTTGTTTCTCTTTTGACAAACAATCTTCCAATCCTTAAGCAACCATATGGTGTTTGTTTGCATGTACATATGTGTGCATCCCAGAAAAGCAAGAAAGTTGGCTGTGTGGCATTGTTTGCACAGCCAGATGGAAGCATTTATTTTGTTTCCGTATGCATCTTTACACCGGTGCAGCATGGTCAGTGTTTGGTCGCTTCCAGCTTAACACCTTCACATTGCAGCCCTATCACGAGATAAAGTGAGTCATTAATAACTTTTATTTTAACTGTGTGAATAAATCGCATTTTAAAACCAAAATGTGAGCGAATAGCTTTATCATGCGTAAAGCACAGATGGTTAGGCAGAAATGTGCGCTCCCCGCACCAGTGCCTTGAATTAGTCCTGCCTCGGTGGAATAGCTCACAGGAACGGAACTCTCAACCTGCCCCCCTTCCTCTGTTTCTGCAAGACAAACACGGTGTGATCATTGCCTGGAGAACAACAGCGGTAATTAAAGTTTAAAAGTCTCAACATGCTACAACTACTGTCACAAACTGGATGAATGTGAAGTATTTTGTTAAAGGAGGATGTAAGCGTAATTAAGGAGCACTATTGGAGTGACTGTGATGGTTATTGGACTCAGGATTAATTCATTTGGATTCCCGCTGTATGAAGAAATTAAAGGACGGCGCGGAAGTGGAAACAATTCACAAAGGGATTAAACTGTTTAAAACACATGCTCAAAGTAAACCGGATTTTGCCGATGTGTTTATGTGGATTCAAAAGATGTAAATAATCCACAAAATGGAGGAGATCAATCTGATCGGAGCAACTGTGACAAATAATCCAACTGAAACCGGCATGGACAATGACTATGTTTTAAAAATGCGCTTAGACAAGCCTGGTTTGGACACTTTACGGGCAGAAGAAACATTTCGATTAAAGAAAGAATTATACATTTCTGTCTTTTTATGCCTTTATTAGCTACTAACTTGAATTGTTATTCTAATTAATCAATTATTTTTTATATTTTATTGTAATGTAGAGACAAGGCTTTTAGTGACAATCATGTATTGCGTTACAATTATATGTAAAAAAAAAAAGAAATACAAAAAAAGAAGTCTAAATATGATATTTGGCCTCAAATCATCTGAGGCATGGCACCCCCCCCTGCGATCTTTGGCTCCCCCCCAAGGGGGGCGCGCCCCCCAGGTTGGGAACCACTGGTCTATAGTACAATACGCTGCGTTTTGCCATAAATCAACTCCTTCTCTGTTTCTAGATTGCCACAAGCAGTTTTCTTCTCTCCAAATTAAATGTCAAATTATATAACATTAATTTGCACGCAAAGGATATTTTTTCTGCGGCTGCCGTAGCTTCAAGCGTCCCTGTAGGTATTCCTAAGGTGAATGGTTAGCTCACCATATGGGTTGTTATTTGCAAGACTCTTTGAGACGGAATGAGTAAATAAAAACATTACAGTCTGTCTAAACTCATGATCCCAGAGGGGAAAGAATAAGCAATGTGCAGCTTTCTGAACATTGAGACAGAAATATTTATTCTTTCATCCGTTCACATATTTGATAGGAAAATATCTCAGTGGCCCTATGACTAATTTACTGCAGGAAATAGTATAATTAGAAGCAACTTAAGCACATGTTAATGACATGATGATGCACGGTTTGATTGAATAGGATTTATTGGTTGCAGTTTGCAGACTCTGCACCAACTCAACAAGTGACCACCCATTTAATTTTCTTTTGGCATAAACCCTTGTCATATTGGCATTTTGTATGTGCTGTGTTTTGTAGTTTATTCAAGGAAATGTTTTTAAGATCTATCTTGGCACCAGGGTGGCTGATCATAACAGAAAAACACACTTTTTTTCCCTATTATGTTCTGAGCAACTCCATGCTAAAGAGATAATAAGGTACTGCAGTACTGAAAAAGGAAACATTCTGTCTACCATTGATTATAGAAAGCAGGTTTGAAGAGATATGCAAATAAAATGACACAGTAAGAGGCTTTGCTGAATTGGTATTCTGTGTAAGACTCAGACAGATAGTAGTGCCCCACTTTGAACTGCGCTTTAAGAAACAGTTCGTTATTTTTGCTTACTTATTTGGCAAACAGTGAATATGAACGCCCTGCACCAGCCCTGATTTCAGTGCCTGATGTTCAACAGAGAAGGGAGATTTGAACAAATAAACCATCAACTTGTCTTTGAAACATGATCAATGTGTGCGCTTTCACACCGGAGTACTTTTCCCCTTTTTAGAAATGTTAACGCCCGCTTCCCGCTTCTCCATAGTACACGTTTCAGAAGCTCTAGACCAGTGATTCTCAAACTTTTTTCAATAATGTACCCCCTTTGAAAAAAAAATTCAGCCAAGTACCCCCTGATCAGCGCAAAAACAATTTGTTATGGAAAAAATGCCTATATAAAGAGGTACAGTACAGCGCTGCACCATTGGTGTCTGATTTATTAAAACAACAACCTTGTAACTGAGAAACACTTAAATGCTACATTTCAAATGTTTACAATCCATCACTAAATTCATGGCAAACCCATTTTAACATCATGCAATAACACTAAGACGACATTAGTTGCATTGAACTGATCTTTTTAATAAGTTGTACAATGTAGTGAGAAACATGGGCTTGTGCTTCACTGAGGACCTTTGTTATTCTCAGTGACAGGAAGGCCACTGCAGTTATTACACTTCGTGTTTTGAAATATGTGTAACTCTGTTCATATAAAACCCACACTGCTCAAACTTCGTTACTTTTCCTAAAAAAAATTGTACCCCTTGCAGTACTCCGACGTACTCCTAGGGGTCCGCGTACCCCCATTTGAGAACCACTGCTCTAGACACCGGAGACAATAGGGGGGAGCTCTGTAGGCAGTTATTTTTGTTTGCTACACTTTGATTATTCTCTTAACCGTGCCTCTCATTGTTTCTCTTGCAGGGAGTGCTTACAGGGAGTGCATGGATAATGGGACGTGGGCGCTGAAGAGCAATTACTCCAATTGTGAACCCATTTTGGAGGAGAAGGTTAGTGTGGCGTCGCAGGAGCAATCCGGTCAGGTCTTTATAACTGTAAGAAATGTGTTGACCATCTCAGATAAATGCTCATTACAACTTCTTTTTAATTATTTTTTATTGCAATAATGGCACATAGGGGAATACCAATTAGATACTGTGGCCAAAGTAATGTGGTGTTTGAAATTGAAATTGGCATCTTATTTCTCCACACAGTGCAGTTAAAGTGTTTAGACATTTGCTTCCAGACTGCTGAACAAATGAAAAATCACAGTATTAAGCCAAATAGTAAGACTGATGAGCTGAAAGTAATTAGCTTTGGCGTGATTACCTCACATTTTGTCTGCTCATTGTGGGTATTTCTGGGTCTTGCTCTATTTTCTGAGATTATTTTAGGCCGTGACATCTAAATTTGCTTCAATGACATTTGCTTTCTTTCACTTGACTTAAACCTCCAAACAAAGAAGCCAAGATAGATTAATACATATACACACCCTGGTTCTATTCATGTATTGCTGTTCTCCTAACCTAATCTCTTTGTTTTATTATCCAGCATTTGCATTCAAGAAGTAATTCATGTTTTGTCATTACAGAGAAAATATCCAATGCATTATAAAGTAGCACTGATCATCAACTACCTAGGTCACTGTATCTCTGTGGGAGCTCTAGTCGTGGCCTTTGTTCTCTTCTTGTGCTTAAGGCAAGTACAGAAATAGTCCCCATCTAAATGTGTCCTGTATGAATGAGACCTCATCGAGCACAATCAGGGAAATTCACGTAATTTCCTCCGACTGCTAATCATTAACTCGCTTATGTCAAATGAATAGATCTCTGCAGCTCGGCTGATGTGGAGCTCTGTGGCAAAAGAAAGACATAATGTGCATTTCAATAAGTCATATAATATTTCATGTTCTGGTTTAAACACACACACACACACACACACACACACACACACACACACACACACACACACACACACACACACACACACACACACACACACCCACACATACACATACACATACACACACAGAGAGACACACACACACACACACACACACACACCACACACACACACACACACACACACACACACACACACACACACACACACACACACACACACACACACACACACACACACCACACACACACACACACAGGCATACACAAACAGGCATACACAAACACACACACACACACACACACAGAACATGACAGAACATAGCAGATACTAAAACAGCTGTTTTGTGCACTATGGTTTGTGAAATGGGGAATTCTCAGCCAAAATAAATTAGATACAAAAATGAAATGGTCACTGTATTATTCTAAGATTAAAAACTATTACAAATTGTGTTAAACAATCTTCCACTACTTACACTACAGATGTCTTGTAAATCTGCTTTTAAATCATTAAAAAGTGTTCTGAAGTATCAAAATCTTCTAGTAGTCTGCACATTAATGTTAACAATGCACATACAAATTAAGTAAACTGAAGCATGTATTGGATATTTGAAATTAAGTAGTACATAAATACATAAATGAAGAAATGTATGTATTACAAGCCTTTTGTATGTAATCTTGGAGCCTCTAACTGTGACATACTGGTCAATAACTTGCAGACAATATGGCTAAAGGCCAATATTATTCAGACCTAACATCTCATTGCACTTTTAATAATCTGTTCCTCTATGAAAGCATGATAATAATACATGTCTTTATTTTTCTTGTGGTTTAGGAGCATACGATGTCTTCGAAACATCATCCACTGGAACTTAATCACCACCTTCATACTGAGGAATGTCATGTGGTTTTTGCTTCAGTTGATCGACCACAATATCCACGAGAGCAATGAGGTAACAGCATTGAACAGTTTTGTCTTACTCGAAACATAAAAGTTTCAAGCCGCACACCTGAACCAGTTACATCAACGTTTCCTTCAAGCCATTATAAAACACATATTTATGTTGCTTTGAGTCTCATTTCTTCTTTTTCAGCCTTGGTGTCGATTAATTACAACCATTTACAATTATTTTGTGGTGACAAACTTCTTCTGGATGTTTGTTGAGGGATGCTACCTTCACACAGCCATCGTAATGACTTATTCAACCGATAAGCTCAGAAAGTGGGTCTTTCTTTTCATCGGCTGGTGTGAGTATGCCCTTGTTGACAGTGCATTAGTAACACTTCATGTAGCTCCAGGCTGTGTTAGAAACAGTGTGATAAGCTTACAGTGTTTTGAATTTTGAATGAACATAGTTTGAAAAATCATATGTGAGGTTTTCTGGGTTAAACCTTTTTAGAATAGTTTTCCTTATTATGATTCTACAATATTAAAAGATGAGTAATCTTTGCTACCCAACCAAATATAAAGTCCAGTTATAATTGATGTCTCAAATGCAGTGATTTTTAACATTGAACTATGTTTTTGGTGTCTTTTGATTCCAAATCAAGGTTATGAGTTGTATTTCAAGTTCATTCTTGACATTTGAAAAGGTCATGGTCTAATTTATTAGCTGCTGTGGAGCTTTCAATGATATCATGGTCTTCACCAGCAGTACATGTGCATGAGTAGTTTTAACATCCTAGCTGCTTAAATATCTTCCCATAATGAGCAACTTCAGCAATGGTACTGATTTAATTTGGAATCAAGTTCTTAAGCAGCAGACCCACATATTCACAAGCCCTTTTACCCCTAATAAAAAGGGTACTTTGCCCGACTGACAACACTTCAAGTTAACTCTGGTCAGCAAGTGAAGTGGATGGAAACCTTTTAGTGCTTCAAACTCAAGATCATAATAATTTCATAACAGAGCAGTGCTGCAGCGAAGTGTGCAAAATGTAATCTTTTGTGCTTGACTTCCACTGATAAAATGAGTTTTGAGATGAGGCAGATACCCTGTCATGAACACATGAATTATCTATGCTCACCTTTACTTAAACCACACTATTAAGAGAAGCATGGTGTCAGAATAATCCGTCTTGAGGCAGAACAATCTTAGAAACATGTTTGTATGCTTCTTTGAGGCAGTCTGACATTTCCTTTCTGTCTGCTTATGTAATGGACATTGTATGTTCTGGCAGAAAGAAACTCTTCATATACTTAACTGCATCTAGGTCAAGCTCACATGATTCAACAGAGATTTATGAATACAGGAATGGAAAAATAAATAGAAAAGTAGTAAATGACAAATGATTGGTAATGACACATGGATGAATGAATGAATGAAAACTTTATTACAGACTCAGGGTCCAGATAAAAGACAAGGCATTACATATAACACATTACATACACAGCATAAAAATAATTCATAGTTTAAGAATCATTTAAATCAGTGTCCTACAAAGAGACAACTATACCAATGTCTCCACAGCTGCGATTGGTAGCGTGTAGTACTATACCTTATGTTCGATAAGGCCAAGAGGATTTCATTATCAGAGTCATTAAGCCGGCAAATACATTTATACATAAGATTTCTTAAAACAGCTTGTAGAATATTGACTCCTGCAGCCACAAACATTTCACTTGTACTAGACCATCGAGGTCTCTTCAGCAATATTCTCATGGCATCATTATAAGCTACTTGAAGTTTCCGTAAACTTGCTTTTCTGTAGTTTGACCACAGATGTGCCGTATAGGGTGGTGTGCAATATGCTCTGAACAGAGACATCTTCACTCCATCTGTACATGCACCAAACTTACGTAGGAGAATGTTTGCTTGTGCATACATCATGCGGCATTGCCTATAAATATCTTCATCATCTGTCATTTGTTCTGTAATAAAGTGTCCAAGATATTTTAACTTATTACAGACACTAAGATTAATATCAGACAATTTAAAATCAGGAAATTTAAGACATTTAACCTCTTTGGTTCTAAAGATCATGACAGCACTCTTACTGGCGTTGTATTTGATGTCATGTTCCACACCATACACAGAACAAGGATGACATGATTGGAAAGCTAATATTGACCTGAACATAAAAATACCCAAAGGCAGCTATCCATCTTATCAATCTACTTTTAATGAGTTAATGTGATTAAGTTATGAAGTCGCTGACAGCTTTTCTCGCGATGATTAGATTATCTGAGCAGATTAGTCTTTGAGTAAATTCACCTCATCAGTATGAAATTCAGTAAGCACTCCTGCAGGTGTTCATTAAACTTGTTTTGTTGTTTTTAATACAATTTAGATAAGTACCTACATAACCCACAGGATGTTGTTTGAGTGAAAATGACATCATGAAAAATCATATTTTTTTCTTTTCTGTAGTTAATGATTGTCATACAATGTTATTTCTGTTAAAATGATAGCATGCTTACAGCTGCTGGGGGGGTCACATGTTGCAGCAGCAATAGAGAGGCGAAGTCCCGCCCATCTACTTCCGACCCATGGGACCTTATTTCAGAAAAATTATGTAGTCAATGGAGAGAGAAAGATTATCTTTCGATCCCGTTTGTGCCACGAATTACACATGATGTTTGTCAATCTTAAAAAATCATTTCCATGTCAAAAAAGTCACAGTTTGTCGTAAAACTGTTGAAATATAAGACGCAACTAGAAAGACTACAAATCCCAGAATCCCGGTCCCGCATGCTGGCTCTTACGGAACCGACTAACTCCCCTTGTGTGTACAGCTCTCAACATGCCCAGACTTGGAGTGATTTTCACCTCTTTTAATGCTTTTCACCTCATTCTGAAAGAAAGAAGCTAAATGTGGCAACATGACGGCCATCTTGGTGTGTGGTGCGAGACGGGAGATGTAGTTCATTGAGCGGTTTCACACAAAAAAAGTGTTACTTCACAGTTTTACGACACATTTTAATTTTTTTGACTTCCAAAATTATCTTTTAAATTGACAAACATCATATGTGTAATTCGTGGCACAATTCAAACGGGATCAAAGATAATCTTTCTCTCTCCATTGACTTCAATACATACTTTTTCCGAAATAAGGTCCCATGGAGGTCCCCGGAAAGGGAGGGACTTCGCCTCTCTATAGTTAACCGGCCAAAGGCACATGGTAATACTTTCTATATAATTACTCATTAACTAAAGTAATAAACAGGCAGTGCATAAAAAAACATACAGGTAAAAGATTACAAATTAAATTCTGTTTTAGTCTTATTACTCGCACAACTGCATTGTCGAAAACCCAAGCAAGTAAAGAGATTAGATTTCCCATTGTGTCACTAATATAAATCTTGAGGGATTGTTAATAACACTTCATTAAGAAACGTATGGAAGTGGGTCTTGCACCATGGCCCTGATGTTACCTTTCAACGTGTACTCTTTCAGCTCCATTAAAGTTAATTTCACTCTTTCATTCCCCCTTATGATCATCTCATCCACTTTGTCTATATAACTTTTATGGTATGCTTTAACTCATCCTCGGATTTCTGCACTCACCAATTGTATTTGGCTTGAAGCCAAATTAGCTTGTTGGCTCACAGGGTGAAGATGTTAAGAATAACTTGCTCGCTCAAACGAAGCAGACTGTCCTTAAAATTCACTCTGAGTGCTTTAGAGTGGCAGCGAGATATTTCAAAGGGCTTTCATTTTGTTTTTCATTTCATTTTAACCTGCAGCAAAAACGTTTGTTATGCAGCAAAGTCTCAAAACAGTTTGTAAAATAAGCATAAGCTCTGAATTACAAGCCACATTAAGTTTATTTTTGCAGTAAATGCAAGTGTTTTAGTATGGAAAATGAGAAGTCAATAAAACCAGATATAGCACAAGAAAAGTGTTGAATGTCTGTTGAAAAGAGAGGATGGCACCCAAAATAAAAGCCAAACCTAATAAGATCAAATCCCCTGAGCCATGAATGAGGCAGTCCTCTCCTTTAATCATAACACTGCTACTAGACAACTCCTGCTGATTTGACGGATCGGTGTTGAAATATGTTTCATGTTCAGATCAGAGAGCTGCGGTAGACCTGTGTGTGTGATGGATAATTCAACATGCTCTGTTTTGTTTCTGAGATGATTTAAATAATAATTGTTGTATCCCTTTTGTCACAAAGTATTTCCCAATATGTTTTATGTATTACTTGTTCTATTATTGACTTTGATAAAGCTTCTTGGATTACAAGCTCCCACTCCATAACATTTGTTATTCAGATACATATTCATTTTTCCATATTCAACATATAGGATGTCTCTTCTTATTTGGTCTGCTATTTTTCTCCATTTTGATCCAGCTGCACAATGTTTTAAGGGTTTGTTGTTGAAAAATGTTGTCTGTTTGTGTTGTCTTTTGATTTCTTTAGGTATTCCATGCCCTATAATTATAGCCTGGGCTATAGGAAAGTTGTATTACGAAAATGAACAGTAAGTTTTGATTGAAAAAAAAGATTGTTTTCTCGCACTATTATTTTATTAGGGTTTTCTTGAATTTTCTGTTATTGATTTTCTTCTTCTGTCCACAGATGTTGGTTTGGTAAAGAACCTGGGAAGTATATGGACTACATTTACCAGGGACCAGTCATTCTTGTGCTTTTGGTGAGATTCGGAACAGAAAAGCAATGCATTGTACAACCACTGCTGTTATTTCCCCATTATCTGAATAATTTGTTTGTACAGTACATTTCTCACTATGCCTGCTTGAAGATGTTCTGAAAAATACAATAATATGAAAATGGTTTCATAATGAAGCGGTTTCCATTCTTGGAAATATACATAAATGGGGCGAAGCCTGCGAGCTAGTTCAGGCAGTCAACTCGAGCACTTATGCTGCATTCATACATAACGCCCCCTTGCCACTCTACAACCAACCAAACAGAGTCTCCTTTATATGCCGCTCTATTTAACCTGCCAGATCTCTCTCCATGCATTGCTTGCTGCTGCTATTGTTGCAGCTACCTCTACGTCGCTGCTGCTTGCCTGCTGCGTTCACTTGCTATTGCTGCGTTCATGTTGCTGCTGCTGCCTGCCGGTGCTGTCCTTGCAAATGTCTATTGCAATCTCCGACTCTGGAACCGAATCATCATACGCAAGAAGCCGTAAGAAATGCCTCATTCCCGAAACACAGGCTAGCTCAGAGCATGGTTCAGACGCCGCTGGAACGACCCACAGCTCCCGCACGACACACATTCAGGTGTCCCACTCCCTTCCGTCCTCATCTGGAGTAGCTTTTAATATCCTTTGGGCCAGAGGAAGTCCCGAGTTCTACGCCAGCTCCGGTAACAACCCCTCTCTTGTGTGTCAGCTAAGAGTCGTACTGTCTCTCGGTCGGCGGGTATTTAAACAACAAAAGGCAGGAGCAAGCTGACTCCGGCATTCCCTGCCATCCTGTCCTACCTTCTCGAAGTAAAATCAGCGCTTGAAGCCTTTAATTCCACGATATTCCCGTGAACAAACTCGATTTCCTCTGTCTGCAATGTAAACAAATGTTTCTACTTCCGCGTTCAATCACGTTGTGCCGCTGACGTCACACCCCCGAGGACTCTGGGAATTGGAGTCCCAGATCCAGTCACAAGTTCTAGCTTCCTGCCCCCTGCAGCAGCAATTCCTTGTGCGAACGCAGCATTAGGAATCGCATACTATTCTGCATAAGCAATGTTTTATTATGGAAATATTTGGCCTGCAGTAAGTCATATTTGAGGCAATTATACAGAAGTTGTAACCAAACAAATGAGAGCACCACAGACCGTGGAGGCTTTTAAAAAAGGCCTCAAAACCCATCTCTTCAAAAGAGCCTTTGCCTAGACCTTTTTATCACCCTTTTATTTATTTATTTATTAATTCTACCGTGTTGTGTAATGTTTATTTATATTGTTTATGCTCACTACTTGTAGCACTTCGGGATTTGAAATCAAATATGAAGTGCTTTATAAATGGAACCCATTATTATTATTATTATTGTATTATTGTGTGCAAGTATACTACTATAAATGGAAATAAATTCATAATTTCCGTTACGTGAATATGAAGGGAAGCGCGATACATTTTTGACCATCATTTTAGACTTCAATCAGCTGTGACTTCAGGTGTTCATGCTGCCGACATACCCGTTTCAGATCCTCGTAGCAGATATCAAGCGAGAGGAGAAGACCTCCATCCGCGGAAACACGGGTACGTCCGGCCGTCTCGGCATAAGCGAACAAGCCGATCCGGCATCAGAACCGAGTCGAGGCCCCTCGATCAGCTGATCCGTGAACACGGAAGTCGCATTACGCACAAGCCGACCGCGTGCAGGCCATGGATGTATAATAAGAAGGGGCAGGCCCTCTACGCCGCATTCAATCCCTCCCAGGAAATTCAACAAGCAGATAAATGACGTTTATCCGTGTTCACAGCACGTTTAGGCATGATCGCCTCCGTGTCTCATCAAATTCGTATCTCGGCACCCCTTTGGGTTGGGGGAGTCCGGATAAAATAATTATATATTTAAAAATGAATAATATAAAAGAATGCACAGGTGCTCCTTCATACTTTCATGCATATAACTGGTGGTGGTGCAAACCGTGCTTGCTTTAATGATCGTACGATCCCCTCTATCTGGTACCTCAATAGCATACCTCAGCTAATGTCTCAGTGCACACGTCAAGCATAAGGAATGGATGCAATATAAACAACTCATGCTCAATGTAGTCTTGCAGCGTATGTCTCTCACAGCAATGAGTCACTCACTCGGCTCACGTTTTAATCATCTGCAGAATACCTTCATTGCATTACTCATTAATCAGCACTTCTCCAGAACGGTTTCAGCTAATTGCATCCCTGTCCTGTCATTCTCTGTCTTATAATGATTGCTTATTCTGCCCTTGTGCGTGTAACCACACGTATGCCCTATCCGACCTGATATCCGCACCGTACTGGCTAATCAAAAACCGTTAAACTCCTACGGGAAGCTATGCATATAACTGGTGGTGGTGGTGTATCACATCCTTCTAAGATAATGTTTTACCACATGCTATGCCTCTCTCACTTATTCCAGCAGACTGCCTGAGCATCAGAAATCTTGCAATAGCCAGCAGACTGCCTGAGCATCAGAAGTCTTGCAATAGCCAGCAGACTGCCTGAGAGGTCAGAAGTCTCGCAATAGCCAGCAGACTGCCTGAGAGATCAGAAGTCTCGCAATAGCCAGCAGACTGCCTGAGAGGTCAGAAGTCTCGCAATAGCCAGCAGACTGCCTGAGAGATCAGAAGTCTCGCAATAGCCAGCAGACTGCCTGAGAGGTCAGAAGTCTCGCAATAGCCAGCAGACTGCCTGAGAGATCAGAAGTCTCGCAATAGCCAGCAGACTGCCTGAGAGATCAGAAGTCTCGCAATAGCCAGCAGACTGCCCGAGAGATCAGAAGTATTGCAATAGCAGCAGACTGCCTGAGAGATCAGAAGTCTCGCAATAGCCAGCAGACTGCCTGAGCCATCAGAAGTCTTGCTCCATGCAATAGTCAGTATCACAGGGAGCGCAGCTCACCCCATCCTATTTTCCTTCTCTCTCCATGAATGTTATGTTCATTCTTTTATAAATGACCTTGCGATGTCTTCAGATCCTCTCTAGTTACTTACAGATGCTGCGCCTTCTGCTGGTTCGGGGGATTTCACAATGAGTGGTTGCCCCACCAGCTTGCCATGCCCTTCGTTCAACCAAATGACTCTGGATCTACACGTCAAGCCCCTCAAGGATTTCCCATATTCTGCCTCCAACCAAGAGCATGATTCAAAGCATACAATTCAGCTTGGTACTTTATCTTCTTCTGTCCCAACCTCCTCTGTGTACTTATGCAATAGATATAATAGTTGTTCATGCATTAATTGTATTTTCATTCAAATCCTGCAATCTTCAAGTGCTAAGTATTAAGCCACGAGAGTTCATTAATTTTCTCCTCAAGGGCCTTAAGCAGGCACGTCCTCCACGCAATGATAAAGACTGCCTCTTAACTTTGCACCCGTGCAAAGGTTAATGTCTAAGTTCAGGCAAAGGGGTTTCACTATACATTGATAAACGTCAGATGCAGTTGTTACAGCTTTCTATTGGTTTCTCCGGTGGCGAATATACACAGACCTCTCACCTTTTAATCCTCAGCATAATCTCTCCCTTACTGAATTAACTTTGGAGATCAAATATACACGCTTTTTTGAAACATTCAATGTCTGACAGTTCTGTCTGGGGAGTCAAGGAACCCCGAATAATCATTGCTAAAACTAACACTGTTTTCTTTGTCCTTTATCTTCCATGCTGAACTTCTCGTATCATTGCCCTCTGACACATGGGTCGGCACCCATGTTTATTAGATGGCTGCAAACCCAACGACGAGGGTTCTCCTCCAAGCTGCGCGATCTCTGCCTAAGCTGCGATTTGCCCCCAGATCGCTATTCCCACTGTTTAAGAATCTGCACAGCCACAACCGCAGCTCTATATCCACCTACCTCAACCCTGAGTATCCTGGGCCCTCGGTCATCTTCTGCCCACCAGCGCTATATCATGCCTCACATGAATGAGATCCTTTCAGCACAAACAACCATGAGCTCTTGCACTACTCGATGATGAGTAACGTTCAAAGATGTATATCAGCTGACACAGAAAGTGACGCAGGTTCTGGTCCAGGCTCTCGTCATCTCACGCCTAGACTACTGCAACTCCCTCCTGGCTGGTCTACCTGCATGTGCCATCCGACCTCTGCAGCTCATCCAGAATGCAGCGGCTCGTCTGGTCTTCAACCTTCCTAAATTTTCCCACACCACTCCGCTCCTCCGCTCCCTTCACTGGCTTCCGGTAACTGCTAGAATCCACTTCAAGACACTGGTACTTGCATACCATGCTGCGAATGGATCTGGCCCTTCGTACATCCAGGACATGGTTAAACCGTACACCCCAGCGCGTACACTACGCTCTGCATCAGCCAAACGACTCGCTGCGCCCTCGCTGCGAGGGGGACCCAAGTTCCCATCGGCAAAAACACGTGGGTTTGCTATCCTGGCTCCAAGATGGTGGAATGAGCTCCCCATTGACATCAGGACAGCAGATAGCTTGCACATCTTCCGGCGCAGACTGAAAACTCATCTCTTTCGACTCCACTTCGAGCGATAGAACTATTAACAAAGCACTTGTATACTAATAAAGGACTGGCTTATCTAAAGCCAGTTGAGTAGCACTTGAAATGTTTGGCTCTATGAAACCTGATGTACTTATATGATTCTGTTTTCTTCAAGGTTGTGTCTTCCTGGTCGAATGTACTTATTGTAAGTCGCTTTGGATAAAAGCGTCAGCTAAATGCAATGTAATGTCATATCTGTAGAATTCTGTTATTGCATACCAGGTGGTTGCTGGGTTAGATTATAGTATATTCCCCTCATAGCTGCATGCTTGGGGGGGAAAGCTCATTGTTGCTGCCTCAAAGACCTAGACACGGCAGTCTTGATAGGTAGTATATTCCCCTCAAAGCCGCGGTGCTGGGGGGGGGGGGTCGGCACTGGTCACTTCCAGGCCTACACATAGCAGTCTCTCTAGGTAGTATATTCCCCTCAAAGCCGCGGTGCTTAAGGGGGATGGCTTTTCGGGCTGTTCCCGGGCCTTCACATAGCAGTTTCATTAGGTAGCATATATAGGTAGTATATTCCCCTCAAAGCCGCTGTGCTGGGGGAGGATGGCTTTCGGGGTGTTCCCGGGCCTTCAGATAGCAGTCACTATAGGTAGTGTATATAGGTAGTATATTCCTCTCAAAGCCGCTGTGCTCGGGGAAGAATCGGCTCTGGGCTATTCCTCAGGCCTACACATAGCAGTCTCACTAAGTAGTATATTCCCCTTAAAGCCGCTGTGCTTAGGGGGAATGGCCACATGGCAGCTCGCCAGGCCCTCTACTTATCAGATTTACATCACCAGCGTCAGGCTCGGGCTACGCAGTTTTGGGGGATAGTATCTAATCTCCACGCAGTTTTGGGGGTTAGTTATTTAATCATCACTCATCATGCTATGTATATCTATGGAGTGATGATGCCCGAGCCTAGTCGCCAAACTCAACTATATGCTGCTTCTAATAAACATGTTAAAGGAACACGTGAGTTGTCTGACTGAAATGGGGCGAAGCCTGCGAGCTAGTTCAGGCAGTCAACTCGAGCACTTATGCTTCATTCATACATAACGCCCCCTTGCCACTCTACAACCAACCAAACAGAGTCTCCTTTATATGCCGCTCTATTTAACCTGCCAGATCTCTCTCTATGCATTGCTTGCTGCTGCTATTGCTGCAGCTACCTCTACGTCGCTGCTGCTCGCTGCCCCACCACCACCCCAGCTTCCACCCCAGCTTCCACCTGTAGGCTCGGGGGTTAGTTATTTAATCATCACTCATCGTGCTATGTATATCTATGGATTGATGATGCCCGAGCCTAGTCGCCAAACTCAACTATATGCTGCTTCTAATAAACATGTTAAAGGAACACGTGAGTTGTCTGACTGAACTTGGAATGGTTGAATAATCTGCCTGGTAGTACAGGCAATTTCAAGCACAATAATTCAAAAAATATCTAATTGTATTCTTGGTATGTCTCCACTAATGGTTCTGTCTAGCGACCACTTTTGATTTGTGTGCTCCTCTAACAATTTTTTGTTGAAAGAGGAGGGGGCTTTGACTTGTGTTGCCCTCTCCTCCTTCTACTCAGCATGTAATGAGCAGAACATGTTTGCTGGAGAAAATTGCTCTCAGTTTTCTTTCAGTGTGAACGGTTACCGTGGCACAGGGTTCAAGGCTAATTATTTTGTCTTTTTTTTTCTTTCTAGATAAACTTTGTTTTCCTCTTCAACATAGTAAGAATCCTTATGACCAAACTAAGAGCTTCAACCACGTCTGAAACGATACAGTACAGGTGAGTTGAGAAATAGATCACATTTCTCCTTTTGTTTGCTTTGACAGCATGTAGTTAAGAGGTGATGAAAACATTGGCATCAAAGGAGTGGATTTGGAAAACAGACTTATATAAACTCAATCATAATCATTTTCACAATTTTGATTTTGTTTCACTCAAATCCTTTCAGAGAGAATACATTTGTGAATCAAAGGAAACCATGTTAATGACAACATGTTCAAATCACCCCCAGTGTAGTAATAGTGTTTATCATATTGTTCTTTTGTGTTTTGCTGCATCTCTTTCCTGCTAAGTATTGCCTGTTCTTCCAATTATTATGATAAATTAAAAACAATGAATCACAAAAACACCGTCAAAACAAACCCTCATAATTGAAGCTTGTATGCAAATGTGTCTAAAACCAACCAGTACTTTGTGCAAGAGAGTCATTTCATTCGGTCCCTCCAGTAATCTTTGGAAGTTTCAAGCCTTTTGCACCTTTGATTACTTTGTCAACTGTGTTTTTATCCTCGGGGGGGATTATTTTGAGGGTGTTTGTAGTGTCGAAGCTCAGACAACTTGAGTTCAGGCTTTCCAGGCTGGAGTTGGATTTATGGTTGTGGCGCGACAGATATGCTGACGTGAAGCATGCAGCTTTGTTAACCTAAATATAAAACATAATGGTTTCTTCAAACTGCTGTCTCTTACACAGAAATGCATTAACAATATAACCAGCGGGGGGAATATTTGACAAGGAGAATTGGATTTTCTGTGATGTGTAAATTGCTTGCTTTGGCACAGAATGTCATTATTATGGGCAGTTTTCTGAGTATATATTAACTTTGTTTGAAAACACTTTTGGCACTCACATCTATTGAGTTACGCTATTTCTTTATCTTGTTTAAAATAACTCCAATGTAGAGGATTACTTTGTTGTTGTTGTTATTGTTTGTTTGTGTTCTTTGTAATTATTTGTTCTCTTTGTACATACAATCAGTACAGACCACTGTATGCATATATTTTGCTTTCCATCTCTAAATGACAAACACTGTTTATGCATTGTTGAAACACAAATATTTTTGATCAGAAAGAACTCCAACCGTTCAAACAGTTTCCCATTAGAAAAGAGCTGCAAGCCCTTCACTGAAACCAATTTAAATAAAGTATTAACTTACCATTTACAACCTCTAGTTACATCTTATAAACCGGTGCTTATTATTATTACTTTTTTTATTATTTTTTGTTATTACATTATTTTTTATTGGTTTTTCAGTTGAATTATACTTAAAGTTCAGGGTAATCAACCGTTAAAAACATACTGTTCACATTTTCTTTCTCCAATAAATTGATGTTTTCAAAGTAAATGGATAATCGTTTTTAATAATCATGATATCAATTATTGACCCAAATAATCGAGATTATGATTTTTGCCATAATCGAGCAGCCCTAACTGTACCCATCTTGCTTCATCTCCGATGCATTGATATTTTGAGAATCGAAGCTGTGAACTGTTATATTTCCCCAGCCAGTTGGATAACTGATGCAGATTCATGCCTTTTCCCAAAACCAACTGGGATGAAATCCAGGTTCTTATTATAGTATTTTCATGAATGTAGCTATTGATTTTCCATCCCTGTCTTCACAGAAAAGCCGTGAAGGCAACGCTGGTCTTGTTACCCCTGCTGGGCATCACCTACATGCTCTTCTTTGTAAATCCGGGGGAGGACGACATCTCACAAATCGTTTTTGTTTATTTCAACTCCTTTTTGCAGTCTTTTCAGGTAAGACTAAGGATAATGAAGCAGTATGACACTGGCCAACGCTTAAAAAACCCACACACAATGTGAGTCATGCTGAATTCTTAATGCATTTCCTTCTATCATTTCATAATTTCTCTCAGTTTTTGAGCTTTCTTGTGGGAAGATGATTTGAAGTAGCATTCTGCCTGTGCTTATACACAGCATGGTTCTGCTGCCTCATGTTCAGGGCTCTCAGCTGACAGGATTAACAAAACCATGTGGGCTTGATGTCTGCTCTTTGGCCTTTTTTTTATACCTTCTATTTTATGTGCTTAAATGTAAGACTGAGTGGGCAAAGAAAAACAGATTTCATGCAGTTTCTCTACCATCAAAGTTGTATAGGCTTTTCTTTTGCTTCTTCTCTCTAATTGCACCATCTAAATGATCTGATGTCTAATTAGTTACACAATACAGCCGCATTCACATCTTTTAATATGAATGTATCTCTTCTGCAGGGGTTCTTTGTGTCTGTGTTTTACTGCTTTCTAAACGGAGAGGTGAGTCATTGGAGTTTTGCAAAATACGTTTTTATTAATTCAATTAAGATATGTGTTGCTTGATATATCATCTTAAGAAAGCCCCAATAGGATGTTCTTGCTTAATTTACATCCTGCTACCCTAGTAACGCTGGTTCAAGCACGAGGTAGGATCAGGTATCTTTTGTTTAAAAAAGCTGAGCGATTTTCTTCTCTATAGGGAAATTATCGCATTTTGATTACACCCAAAAATAATAACGTTTCTCATTTTCCTATAATTATATGAAAGCAAATTGCTGATCTTCCAGCTTTTTGTAAGTCATTAATGCAATAATGAAGATTACACATTTGTCAGTAATTGTGAAAAATTAAGGACCCTCCTGCTGTGCTCTCACAAGCGTCGAATAATTGAAATTCGGAAGCCGAGGGGTTTGTTAATTTGATGAAGGATTGTGAAGAATTTATATTTTCTCCCACTCGTACAATAATTTATTAAAGTTGTTTTTGTTTTAAAGGTGGGGTAGGTAATTTTGGAGAAACCAGCTCGAGTGCGCTTGAATTTGAAAATAGATGAGAGTAACAAATGCGTCACTTCCAGGCAAAAATAACGGCTCCGCCCACTTTTGGGGGAAAACAAAGCTGTCAGTTGAACGGCGGTCAATACAAATTCTGAAGTTTTTGCCAATCCGATCAGAAATTGAAGAAAACCGGAGATTTTTGGGTCTTCAAAGAGCCCGATTCCAATGGCCAGACAGGCAAATAATTGCATTAAGCCATTAGAAATCAACGATCGGGCTCGATATGTGGTTAAATATAGCAGTAAGCTATCGATTTTCATAGATGAGAGTAACATCTACGTGACTTTACGGCCCCGCCCACTTTTGGGGGAAAACAACGCTGTCATTTGAATGGCGATTGAGCCTGAAGCCACAGAGCTCTTCTTTTACTGTCCTTTCTTCTTAGAGGAAGTACAGAAACACTGAACTCTTGATTATTTTTAATGTTTGAGGTGCAATAAACGACACAGCAGCTTTTTGGCATGATAAAACTATTATGTTCCGCCTTGCTCATGAGAGTAACAGCTGGAGAAATTACAGCCTCGCCTACTGATTTTAATTTAACCATATATCAAGACCGATTGTCGATTTCCAATGATTGAATGTAATTTTTTGCCTGACTGGCCATCGTAATCGAGCTCTTTGAAGATCCAAAAATCCACTGTTTTCAAAACAATTTGATCGGATTGGCAAAAACTTCCGAATTTGTATTGACCGCCATTCAAATGACAGCGTTGTTTTCCCCCAAAAGTGGGCGGGCCGTAATTTTTGCCCGGAAGTGACGTAGCACAACCGGAAAAAATCTGCGACTTCCTTACAGAGCCCCTCCTCCAACACACACGAACGGCACATGACCAATGAGGGCACGAGATAAGTTTGTGCACAGATAGAAGGCTGACAGGCAGGTAGGCCATCCAGTTATTTTAGCCGGGCCGGCTAAAATGATTGGTCTTGCTTTTTACAGTACTACGGCTTCCACAGATGACATTTTTTAATGGATTTTTTGTCAAAGCACTTAAGATATTCATTGCTATTGGGATGTTAAGAGCATTCCATGGAATATAACAAAAAGTGTATCTCGAGCAGGTTTCTCAAACTTACCTACCCCACCTTTAAGTATTCTCTTCTTGTCAACGACTGATTTGAATGGGGGAAGGGCAAAGTGGGTTGCATGCCTCTAAATGTATTGTATTATTTACGGACGGATCCTTTTAAATAGTTATTTCCATGAACTCAAACGTTGAATCATTGTTGGCGTATACCTACATATTTAACTTGTAGGCTACTTACTTTGAAAGATCAAAATTAGGATTGTATCTACCCTCTGTCTGGATTCTGAATTCAACACTAAAAGAATAGTTTGACACTGACACTGATAAAACGTTCATATTTATTTCTTTAAGCTTAAACTAACAGTTACGGTGAGCAACGGTTAGCGTGAAACACGGGAAAGGAGTTAGCCTAGCTCTGTCACAGCTTGTTTTTTTACACATTTTGTACTGGTTAAACAAATTAGATGTAATGTGTTTTTTTTTAACTGTTAATGGTCTCTATGCTAAGCTAACAGCATCTTTCTCCTGGTTTTAACTCCTTATTCAATAAAAAGTTTCATTGCTTATTAAGACCACTTGTTCAAGGTGTTATGTTGTAATAATTATTTAATGAATATACGCGACAGATTATTCATAATCATTTTAAAATACATTATGTTCATCTTCAACATTTCAGGTACGTTCTGCAGTAAGGAAGCGATGGCACCGTTGGCAGGACAACCATGCCCTCCGAGTGCGAGTGGCACGAGCCATGTCCATCCCCACATCTCCGACCCGGATCAGCTTCCACAGCATCAAACAGACCACAGCTGTGTGACCAGCACATCATCTCCACAACAACATCTCATGCTGTGTCTCAATTAAAATACTCTCCTCAGTACACTGCCATGTCGTGCAATGTGCGCAGTGTGTGAATTTACTCCATGTAGCGTTGTCTCAAACTGAACACGGCTGCTGTGTGCTCTCACTGGGAGCGACTATCGCCACTGTTAGTTAACCCAATACAATCATGGTGGCTACTTTTCAACTGTAGTATAGTGTTACATGTATTAAATATAGAAAAAAAAAACACATGTATACATTTAATTTGTATAGTGCTGTGTTGACCAAAGCAACCGCAATTGCGACTGCTACTTTCATTACGAGTGTCCAGCGTTTCTTTTTGAACGTTATGAGTAAACCACTACTTTGTCTTGCTTTTCATTGGTATGCTTTTGCACCTAAAATAGCACATACATTATATACAGAAGTACGCAACTTGACACATATCATTGATCTTTGTGTGGAGTACAAACATTGAGGTGATTTACAGAACAGACTTTTTCCTCCGACAAGGTCGTAGTGTGTCCAGTTGACTGAAGAGCCAGTCAATGTCTCTTGAATGGTAATATCAATTAATCTAAAAGTATACTTCAATAGTACATGGAGGTGTATCTCCACTGACAAATTGTACATGTTACAGGTACAGGGTTAAAGCCTTTCTGGAAAGTATTTAAACAATGGCCTCATGTTACTGTCACATCACAGCAAGTCTTATGTTAGCTTGTTTTCACTGTCATCTTACTGCTTAGTGGTTGTGAGAGGAGCAAGATCATCTTAGAGGATTTGCAGCAGGATACTTCAGCAGCTCATGCACTTGTTGGCATCTGCTCCATTGTTACCTAGAGGTGCATCGCTCAAACATTATTGCAAGTCTTCTTTAGAGAGATGTCAAAATGCTCCTTGAGTTAACTGTTTCTAAAACTATGAAAGGAAGGTATTTCATTCAAAAGAGGCACTGCTCTCTCTTATAAAAAGATAATTTAAATGTTTCTTTTTGATCAATGCGGGATGATCATTTTATACAAACAAGCCATTCAAGTGAAGTCCTGAGTCTGATCTTGTATACAGTGTTGATATGTTTGTCTTGTATTGTTGTAAACATTGTGTTCAGCTTCTTCTCTTTTCCAGCTATTTTCTTTCACCCTCTATTTCTTCTCCTCAGAGCAGGAAGGTGTGAACATAATTAGCAATTAAATGAGTGACCACCATGCGTGTTTGAGGCGGATGGATGAGCAGTGGAAAATTAAATCTTTCTTCTAAACGAGTAAAGATAAGATTAAATAATATAGAGTTGAGAAATTGGTGCCTTGTCATTTATGTAATGTATGTGTGACATGCTTAGATTCATCATGCAGGCACAGAGGGAGCAGATTACATTATTTTGGCTTTATGAAATCCTTGTGGCTTTCTAGTAATCTGTGTCACTACTAAGCTGCTGGTTTCAGAGCTTGATGAAATGAGCACCAAACACTTGCCTGTGATGCTAACTCCTACATCTGCTCAGGCTGCTCACAATAATGGGAACACTCATCTATCTGCAAAGTCAAACTCCAGAAATACGAAGGTTTATGAACAATCAAATAAGTCTTAATGATGCTGCTAGCTTATGTTTAAATGCAGATGCTCCTTTGTGTATGACCTTCTTTACATGCAGTAGAAGTATTTCTGTCAGCTGGTACAGTAAGAATGTTTAAAGAGATATTTTGATATGTTTGGTGATACACTTATTCACTGTAAAGCTAAGAGTTCAATGACAAACCACTCTGAAAGTGTTTTTTTCTTATCTAACTCTTATCTAATATTAAAATGAATTGTTTTATTTGATTTCAGGTTAACATTTATTTATTGGTTTATTCATATTTATGTCATGTGATATTTCAGGATAAAATGCACTGGATTTACTGTTGATGTTAAGCGTGGAGGTATTGCATCAAACATAACATTGTAGTAAAATGTACATTTCATATTTAATTGTTTGTATTTTTTTATACATTACAGCATCATTTGTTGTTGTTGTTGTTATGCTGCTCAACTGGACTGATATCAATTGTTAATCATTTAATGTAACTATTTCTGTAGTCCTGTTTCCAGTATCATTCAGCTGTAACACTGCAAAACCTTTCATGATATTATGTTTGCAAAACAAATACATAGTCTAATATTTTGATACAGGAGTAAAGAAAACACGTCATTTATTCCAACTCGCCAAAGAGATTAACCGTTTACCAGCATCCTGCATTTCTATTACCTACATGTTTCTATTGTTGCCATTGCATTTTTTAAACCAAATCATGTTGACTTTATGTTGACACCATTTATTGTACATGAGGAAATGTAATCAATGCAGTATGATGTCAGATTTGTTAACTTATAACTGTACATGAATACATTCGACTGATTAAATGGTATTTGTTGAACCACCTATGTTGCCTTACAAACAAAGGAAAAGGAAGCTCTGTAAATGATGTATCATCGTGCTACTGATATACATTTGTACATCCACATGTGAAAGGAAAAAATGTTGATTTAAATAAAAATGATACTCATATTTTTGTTGTTATTGTTATTTCCAAGGGAGCTCGTAAACAACAATGATCTGAGTTGACAGAATATGATGCATTATGTCGATTCAGTTACATTCTGCAATCTGGCATTGGCTGCAGATTGCACTAATGGGATCTGTTTAGTTGATTCATTTGCTATCAATCCCTCTATCGTCGAGCAGTGTAATAAACAAGTGCAGCAGTCTTTGAATGACTTTATCATATAATTATTCTAAAGATAGACTAATGCAGCTTCACTGGCACATGTGTTACTTGTAGATATAGTTTTCAGTGATTGAAGAGTCCTCAGAGAACACCTGCGGGATTACGTAACATTAATGTATTTACAGTTTTATATATTTCAGGCTGGGGTGGAGTGAAGTGCTGCCTGTGCCCAGAAGCCTCAGGACTCCATGAGTTATACGTCCCCCAAACAATTAGCCGTGACTCTGATGCAGCCTAATAAAGGCCTGTTGTGACAATTCATGCTCTGATGGTTGACCACTGCATGAAAGGCGGACAGTGGATATGATGTTCTGAAGTGTGCCAGCGCCAGAGGCAAGCAGCACATCAGCACTGCACTGAGGATTGTTTGCCCCCAGCCTTCTTTGTGTGGATACTAAACTGCATTTCACCAGTCATTACCTCAGCTAAAAATAAATGGCTTGCCTCTCAGCCCGAGGCCACCACTCCAGCCTTCTAATGCTTGATTTATAATGCTATCAGGAGGAATACTCAACACTATGAATCAATTATAACATAAAAAGAATGAAATGTTAATTAGAAAATGTTTCCAATCACTTAAGGCAATAACGCTTTAAAAAAATTATTATCATTTCCATAATGCAGATCCTAAGTGGGTTTATCTGTTATTAGAACAAATTAGCTTGCATACTGTAAATAATGTTGTCTGCAGCTCTTAAGTAGCTTCTCAGGATATACATTGCATTCAGAAAGTATGCAGACCCCTCCTCTTTTTCACATTTTGTTATGTGGCAGTCTTGTGCTTACATTGTTTTAATGATGTGTTTCCCTCAACAATCTACTTTTAATACTTGATAATGAAAAAGTGAAAACAGAATTCAAGAGTTAAATTGTTACATCACATTTACCTGAGTGTTAAGATGCTTAACTGAGTATTTAGTTGAAACTCCTTAAGCAGCAATACAGCATCTCTGACCTCAGGACCATGAATTTATTGAAGGAATCACCTCAGTCCCTGCTTTAGAAAAATACCTTCAGATCATGATGCTTACAGTTGATGGCAAACAGTTCAATCTTGGTTTCATCCGACCAGTGTATGTTGCATCTCCACAGGACCTCTGGACCGCTCCTGATTGCTCAGTTTGGAGGTCGGCCAGCTTCTAGAAGATTCCTGATTGTTTTCAACCTTTTCCATTTAAGAAATATGGAGGCCAATGGGCTCCTTTGAACCGTCAATCCAGCAGAAAAGTTTGTGGTAACCTTTCACAGATCTCAACACAAAGCTGTGTCAGTTCAGCAGGTCGTCTGGCCTTCTATCTGAATTGTTGGTGTGATATAACTGTCAGCTATTAAACCTTATAGCCATGTGTGTGCCTTTCCAAACCATGTTCAATCACTTGAATTTACCACAGATGGACTCCAATCAAGGTGTTGAATGATTGCAAAGATGATAAAGAGGAATGGGAGGTACCAGTGATACATTTCAAGTGACAAAGCAAAAGGATGCATGTTGATGGACTCCAATCAAGGTGTTGAATGATTGCAAAGATGATAAAGAGGAATGGGAGGTACCAGTGATACATTTCAAGTGACAAAGCAAAAGGATGCATGTTGATGCATCTCCTAAATACTCACGATACACTTTAAAAATACAAAATAGGATGAGCTCTCATATAATTGATATCAATTATTGAGAGTAATATCAAGTTAGATTTATATTATGTAAATAAAATGCACAAAAGAATGTAAGTGTTTTTCTTCAGTGACACTAAAGCCCGAATGAAGAAGAATATGAATAGTATAATAAACTTTAGTTCAAACCTTTGGCTCATAAAAGTGCAAAGTAAAACGTAAAAATCAATTTAATGCATCACTATAATCAAGATTGTCAAAAGATAACGTTTTATTGCAGCATTATATCTGCGACACAGGAGAAGCCTTTCGGAGCCAATGTCGATGCACTCTAAGTTCACATGAATAGCATTCCTCACATTAAATAAATGATGCAGTCAGTTTACTGAATTACTAAGGCTATGCAATGGAGTTGAAAGACTCCAGCAACCATTAACTGGTGCGATCCTTGAGGTCTAATTTCAAATTTACTGTGCACAAAAAATAACTGCTAAATATATAGCCTGATGCTCATGAGAGCTGAGCTGACTGACAATACGATGCGGTTTGATGAAGGTCAACCGACCACAGAGGGAGAAGTGCTTACAGAAGCTATTTGTGGAGAACGTGAAGGTCATGTTAATGTTAAAATTAAAATAGTTTAGTTGGATTTGTTTCCAAATTATTTCTCCTCAAATGCCCGTGGGCTAGTCATTACAACTCATGCTGTGCAGACAAACAATGTTCCACTTTTAATTATAATGTACACCGCCAATTTTCAAAGATACCAAATATGGCACTTCCTGGGGATATATAAATGTATGCTTTAAAAAATGTTGGTTTAAATATTTCACTTTATTTTAAAGTGTTAACATAGATTTTACTTAAAGCTCCTTATGGATAAATACAACGGGGGAACTAAGAGGATTACGACCCTCGGCCTCCAGTCAAACACTTTCAGAATGAACTGTCACAGTAAACGTTCACAGTTTAGTTGGTGGCAGCCAGAGAGTTGTTGAACATATTAAAGTAAAGTAAAGTCACTAAAAACCACAAATGTTCAAGTTAATACCTAAAAACTAAATGATAAAAAGTCATGATAAACTGTGAGAGATAGTGAATAAATGATTTGCCAAATGTGCAGCTGCTGAAGAAATTTAGGTTTTTGTCGTACTGTGACTGCAGATTGTTTTTTTAAACGTTTGAACATTTTCAGAAACAATGGAAATGTCATTTTCCAACCCTGTTAAAATAAACTGATCTTGCATGATGCAGGATGTGCACGAGACACCCAACCACTCTGAACTCCAACATGTTCAAGCAGCAGTGGAGCTGGAGCAGCATAACATTAATCATATTCAGTCCTGTGAAAAGGTTGTGTTCATTTTCTTTAATTGCAAATGTGTATTTCAAAGAAGGAGAGAAGGAAAGCGAGTTTTTTTTATCAACCTAAAATAAGTGAACGTGTGGTTTGACATTTTTAAATGAAAAGGCATCTATCAGTTTTGAGCTAGGCTTATTATGAGTTTTATGTGAAGAGTTGAAAGACGTAGATTCATCATCAATGTGATTAAACCGGTCATGGTTTGGATCAAATAGAAATTTGAATTTAAATAAGATTGAGTTTTGTGGCACCAGCCGGATGGATGGCTTGTGACCTTGAGAGGTTTTGTATGATCTCATTGGCCGATTCAAAAAGGTTGAAGCATTAATAATTACATATTACAAATATACAACCAAACTTTGTGGGTGATTCATTCATTCAGCAAATGAAGAGTATGTTGTTTTTCCTCATGTGTACTGAATAAATACAATTAGAATAAAGCAGGGATTATTTGAACAACAGTTCCTCCTGCTGGCTAAATAAGGAAACTACTACTACACATTTCGAATAGAGCAACAATTTATGTATCTGTATTATGTAAACATCTATTTTTACAATGCAGAGAACACATTTCACTGTGTGTGCTGTGTGCTCTGCATGTGTGACCATTAAAGAGGGCTTCATCCATCCCAACATGTATTTTATTTATTTATTTACAGTATATTATTTGTATTTTGTATTTCTTTGGGCTTATTGATGAACAAGTATTTTAGATTCTGCCACTGTGTTTAGGTTGTTGAACTTCAGACACTGATTTAATAAGAAATTCATCTTTTGTCTCAGGCTTTCATACTTCACATGTTTGCTTTTAGTAAAAAGACTTAATAAACTTGAACACAATATTAAATATCTGCCCACTGGTACAGTTTATTAGCTACACCTAGCTCAAACGGCAATCTTATACACTGAGTTGTTTTGACAAAGAAAACACAGTCAAATTGAATGTATTTATTCACTATGATCTTCAACAATAACAGGGGTAGGGTGCAAAGTGCGCACTGCATCTACACAAGCCATCGTAGATAAACAAGGTGAAATATAATGAGTTGTAAATTCATCAGAGATGCATGGAAATTAGAAATATACACGATGGGATTTACAGAAACATAAAGATATTGCGGCCAAGGATTCAGGGATTTCCTGGTGAAGGACAAGCGAACTAATCACCCCTCTTTTTGATTTGATAATGAGTGATGCATTACCAGAATGACAATGAAGTTTAATACGCTTGTACCCTTTTTAGGAGGCCATAATGTATTTCACAAAAGCTTCATAATTGATGCATCCGTTAGCATCCTCCTGGTTTTGCATCAGTTGATCCACCTCATCTTCCCTCATCTTCTCTCCTGTGGAGCATTAGAAAGAAACAGTAGGACGGTTAGCTCAGCATGCATCTTAATAATGATCGCTTTTTTAAAAAAAATCATTATGAAAACTGTTTAGCTCACCCAATGTTGCCAGAACATGTCTCAGCTCAGCTCCCATGACGGTGCCATTCCCCTCTTTGTCAAACACCCTCAGACCCTCCACAAAGTCCTCATATGTACCACAGTCCTTGGCCTTGCAGATGTGTTGGTGCATGGGCAGAAACTGGTCAAAGTCAAGCATCTTGGTATGCATGTCTGTGTGTGAAAAAATGTTTTTACCAAAGGAAATTAAATCTGCGCAGGCTGCAGTTCTGACCGATGTTGAACTTAATTGTAACCTTTCTGCATTTTCCACAGATCTGCATTTGAACCAGAACTGTGCACGTCAGTGGCGGTTCTAGACCAACTTTACTGGGGGGGCCAGGCTGGGGCCAGTTATTTAATGAGATGGGCACAATAAAAGCAGGTTAAAAAGACAAAGACAGTATAAAGTAATTCTGTAAAATAAACATAAAATACGGTAATTGGTATTTGTTTTTGTAAAGGTATTTGTTTTAGTACATTTAAGTTACAGTCCTTTGTTTCAGTTATTGAGACTAAGTTCTACAACACCAAGTTGTCTTTGTGTATTTGTGAATGAAGCGCCATCTCATGGTTAAATCCTGTAATTGAACAAATGGGGAAATGTGGCAACGCCCTCTAGCAATTTGGCAACGCCCCCTAGCAATTTGGCAACGCCCCCAGCCACTGGGATCCGCTGGGTTTTTGGTTGGAATCCGCTGGGTGGAGTCCTATCTGGAGTGCTACATCTGTAGAGTATTTGTTTTAGTAACTTTAAGTGACAATTTAATTAAAACACATAAACAGTATTTGCTTTTATATAAGGTAATGAACAGTTTAATCTCCACTGTACATCCGGGTCTCTAATTTGATTAAGTTCCAATAAATTGTAATATTATAACCTTTTTTTTTTTTTGGAGGGGGCCACAGGGGGGTCCCTGGTCAGTGTTACGGGGGCACTGGCCCCTGTTGCCCCCCCCCCCCCCAGAACTGCCCCTGGTGCATGTAGACATTGACCCACCTTCAACCTTTGGCTTTCCAAGGACATTCATGATCTCTGTGTTGGTAGGATTCTGGCCCAAAGCCCTAATCAGATCACCACACTGGGCGTAAGTGATTTTCATCTCGTTGGTTGGTGTTGTGTCAAACAGCTGGAAGGAATCTTTGAAGTCTAAAATCACAACGAAAAACAGGTGATTCCTTCTGATTACTATTCAGTTCATTGTGATCCAAGAATGCATGCATAATCTTAGAAACAAGGCCTTCAAGATGCTTCAAAGTAATCATGTTTAATGACATCGATGAGGTAAAAGTCCTTTTCTAGAAGAAGAAGGAGCCAGAAATAATCCACTCAAAAAGTGCCCTCATCTTTTTTTTAAAGGGATCTACTTTGATGGAAATATTTACTTTAAAATAATATCCCTGATCTGTTGTATCATCAGCTGTTGCCTTGCATTTCTCACACACTAATAGAGAGGGCACGATCACACAATCCACTCAATCCATCTATAAATAGCTGACACTCCATGCAACACAAACGACAACTACAACAACAACAACGTCAATCTTACCCTCAATTTGCTCTGGGGTGAATTCCAGCTGAAAGGAGACAAAGCAAACCAGGCGGTTAGATGCTGCAGATCATGCGTGATTATTGCAGTTCACAAGGCAAGTTAGTCAAATGTACAGCAGAATACATTCATAAAAGAAACACAGAAAAAACTATTAAATGTGACCTCTGGCCTGACCTTTGTCGTTACAGCGCTTATCCAACAGATCAAGTTGCATTCTGATCATAGTGCGTTGTTTATCGGTGACCTTCAGTCGGATGCCTCCTTGTTACAGTCCGTCTGCTACTGTCTGCCTCGTTGGAGTTTATTTTTAGTCGCAATATCTGGCGATGAATGTTTGATACTGTTAACACCATCCAGAGGTGATATTTTAACCGAGCTTAGATAAGTGTTTGGATAATATTTGTACAAAGCTTCATAGAGCTAGAATGACATTTAGGTTAATACATTAAAAGTTGATGATAATGTCCTGTGACGTTTGGATGCACTCACTTTAAGCATAATTCATTAACCATTTTTCGTGAGAAACATGAAGTTCAAAACGTTCAAAATAACCTTGTTTACAACTTTATCATCACTCTGTATTAATTATTTACAGGGATTCTTCAAGACCAACACACACTTTTAAAAAGTGGATATCAAAGAGATCAGTCAGCATCAGAATGAAAGGACAAAGCAATTGTAAAATAATTGTTGTTTGTTTAACATGTGCGCTATAGCAGAGAAAGAGATGTCAAACCAACTTCTAACATGGAAATTGAATAATACGTCTTAAAATACATTATTGTTCTTAATACCCATGACAAATGATGACTATTTATACTGTATATGTTGGCCTCTCATCAAATAGTGCCCATAGTTTATATCTGATGTCTGGATTTATACAAACCCCAGCTCCTCTATGAAGCTTTGTAAAAATATTATCCAAACACTTATCTAAGCTCGGTTAGAGAGGGATGACGATGGATGTAATTATCTATATTTTTCTTCCTTTCCAGATTTTCCAACCACTTGCCCTCAGAGAAATGCTGCGGGTGGTCTGCTATTCTCAAACATAATGAAATCATATTTTGTGGCTTTAACCAAGCTCCATTATAACAAAGAGGCTCCCCTCAAACAGGAAAACATATATCCATTGAGAAGGGGCCCAGTCAGCAGAAGATCTTTCCATGATGTCTGGTATCAGTTTGTTTCTGAATCCCCCCGACAAGAAGTCAAAGCTTTACACAATTTACAATGCATGTTTGAAGTTTAATGAAGCACTGAAATAACTATAATTGTTATACAAATTGTGAATATAACCTTTCATGTGGCTGTACTCTCCTGTTTCACTTGCACTGCTGAATTTAAGTCACACGGGGTCTCTGATGCTCTTTACACACCAGCTTAGCTTTCAAACAGACCATTGCTGTGAAATCTCATTATTAGTAACATCCCATAGTAAGATCATTAGAAATGCTTCTATTAAAAACATATTTTAAGTATTTACTGGTTAAGTTGAATTTCAAGTGTGAATAATTATTGGTTGATTAAAGACCAAAACACTCCAATCTGTCTAAAAGCAGATCTACAATTGCTCTGCAGTGCTGTTTTTCTTTTGTTTTACCGTGACTGTTGCAGGGTCAAACACCGGGGTCTTAGGGCGCTCTGGCTCTGGGGGTTTGGGGGCTGCTGCAGCTTTCGGCTCTTCTTTCTTCTTCGGGGCCATCGCAAGAATTCAAAGTGGAGGAAAGACACAGCAGAGGGGTACTGCGGTTAGAAGTGACCCATTAGAGGTGAGGTCCCTTTATCCACTGTCCACAGGTGTCATGTCCTCCACAACCCCCCACCCCCCCTCCCACAATGCCCAACCACACTGCCAACAATACAGGGATGACTATAAAAGGATGTGGCTTTGTGCTTCTATTTAAGACAAAGATTGCCATTGTGCGTGTACATCATCAGGATATGAAAGCTCCTACGCCTGGGAGCTTCTGATAATCAGGCTATTTCCATCAACATTAGTGAGACCTTGGTGTGACCTCTGCGATCCTGGACAGTTGACCGTGTTCAGTGAAGTGTGGTGGTTATTAGTGAGGAGGGGATGAAGACAAATGAAGATGTTGAAATGACAGAGCAGCAATGCTGTCTGATGGGAAGTGGGAGCTACAGTTCCAAGCAATTATCCTTGATTATTATGAAATATCGCAACCAATGATGGAGCAGTATTCGCTGTGCCCATGCTGTGCCAAGAGACACGTTTGTGATTATCATTTATCTGGTCTGATCATAGGGATTTTCAGAGCAATAAATACAAATCTGCCGGCTTAAAATAGGATTCATAGAACGCTGTCACTGTCTGATCTCTGGCTTTCGAGCGTTGTTATGTGAACATGCCTCTCTAAAGGCTGGGCATCAACAACACAGTGAGGAAAGTATCTAGAAAGAAATCTAGGATGACACTAAGTGCCACTTTCTGAAGCTGCCATTCACACTTGAATGGACAAGAAATTTGTACACAGAGTGGCAGCTAGGGTGGTGTTTCTGGTGTTCACATTGTTTTCAAATAAAGCTCATGTGAGTGTAACCAACCCAAGCAAACATTCAATTGATTTGCAAATCAATGTAGAGTGCAGCAGCCAAAGGCTATATTCTCTCTTCATAAGAGAATCATAGTTTTGATTTTTAGAAATACTGACTGAGATGTTCATTCAAAGACCTTCAAAATAATATTTTTGTTCCCAGAAAATTTGCTGAACTGCGTCCACACTGTAACCTGTAAGAGCCATTTGAATGAAGGGTCGTGTTTGGGTTTAAGCTGTCATAATTGTGTGTTATTTACTGTGTGTGCCAAGGGGTGTCGCTGTCCTATTACCTAGGGCACAGGTATTTAAGGTGTGTCAAGTCACATGATTGGGTATGTTTGACCCCTGTAGCACGAGTGTTACGTTTTGATTGTTTGTCCGGGCAATTATTGAATGACTTTGATGCCGTATGTATCCCATTAATGGATTTTATTATTTCACATCTGGTAACGAGCTTACCGATAGTGATGGCGAGATGAAGCCTTATGAAGCTTTCCAGCCAATTGGTTCGCAAAAGGGTTAATTTCAATCAATCAATCAATCAATGTTTATTTATATAGCCCAATATCACAAATGTTACATTTGTCTCAGTGGACTTCACAGTTTGTACAAAATATCAGTATGACAATACGACACCCTCTGTCCTTAGACCCTCACATCGTACAAGGAAAAACTTCCGAAGAAAACCCACAGTTTAAAGGGAAAAATGGGAGAAACCTCAGGGAGAGCAACAGAGGAGGGATCCCTCTCCCAGGACAGACAGACGTGCAATAGATGCCGTGTGTAAATTGAAAAGATAATACATTTGCAACATAGGTAGTCCAAATATTTGGAAATGCATGTGTGTATAATAGGAAGATGAATCCACGGGGATATCCATCCAGGACCTATGATCCAGGACCACAGCCACGATTCAAGATCCAGGGCTCGCGATGCAGGACACAGGAGCGCAGGATCATCCATGACTCCGGATTCCAGCTTATATAGACACCAAAAAGAAAGACATTTGGGGAAGCTGGGTTAATCGGAACATGAGAGTACACAGGTACAGACAGAGAGAAGGAAGAAGTAAGATGTCCCCCGACAAACTAAGCCTATATCAGCAAAACTAGGGGCTGAATCTAATCAGCCCTAACTATAAGCTTTATCAAAAAGGAAGGTCTTAAGCGCACTCTTAAAAACGGATAGGGTGTCTGCCGCCCGAACACATACTGGAAGCTGATTCCACAAATGTGGAGCTTGATAAGAAAAGGCTCTGGCTCCCATTGTACTTTTAGAGACTCTAGGAACAACCAACAACCCTGCATTCTTGGAACGCAATGCCCTAGTAGGACAGTAGGGTATAATGAGTTCTTTAAGGTAAGATGGCGCCTGCCCATTAAGGGCTTAGTAGGCGAGAAGAAGAATTTTAAATTCTATCCTGTGTTCTATAGGGAGCCAGGGTAAGGCAGCCAGAACAGGAGTAATGTGGTCCCTTTTCCTAACTCTGGTTAGTACACGAGCTGCAGCATTTTGAATCAGCTGAAGCGACTTGACTGACTTCTTGGTACACCCTGATAATAAAGAGTTACAATAATCCAGCCTTGAAGTAACAAATGCATGGACTAGTTTCTCTGCATCGTTTTGAGGCAAGATATGCCTGATTTTTGCAATGTTACGTAGATGGAAGTAGGCGGTCCTTGAAATTGATTTTATGTGGGTGTTAAAGGATAAATCCTGATCAAATATAACACCAAGATTCCTTACAGTCTCACTGGAGGCCAAATTAATGCCATCCATAGTTAGTATATCTTTAGATAATTTGTTTCGTAGATTCTTCGGGCCGAGTACAATAACTTCAGTTTTGGTCGTGTTTAACATCAAAAAGTTTAAGGTCATCCACGTTTTTAAGTCCTTGAGGCAGTCTTGAATTTTATTTAGATGATTAATTTCATCAGGCTTGATTGATAAATATAGTTGAGTATCATCCGCATAACAATGAAAATGTACAGAATGATTCCTTATAATATTGCCTAACGGAAGCATATATAATGTGAACAAAATAGGTCCGAGCACTGAGCCCTGTGGCACTCCATGGCTAACTTTGGTTGGCGTGGAAGATTCATCATTGACACGTACAAACTGAGAGCGTTCAGATAGATAGGACCTAAACCAGCCTAAAGCAGTTCCCTGTATGCCAACTAAGTGCTCTAGTCTTTGCAATAGGATATCATGGTCGATAGTATCAAATGCAGCACTGAGATCGAGCAAAACAAGAATAGAGACAAGTCCCTTGTCAGAGGCTATTAGAATGACATTTGTGACTTTAACCAGAGCTGTCTCTGTGCTATGATGTGTTCTAAAGCCAGACTGAAAATCTTCAAATAAATCATTGTTTTTTAAGTAATCACACAGCTGTTTTGCGACCGCTTTCTCAAGAATTTTTGAGAGGAACGGAAGATTAGAAATAGGTCTATAATTGGCTAAAACCTCTGGATCGAGGTTGTGCTTTTTAAGAAGCGGTTTTATCACTGCTACTTTGAATGATTGTGGAACATAGCCTGATAATAAAGACATATTCAAAATATTTAATAAAGAAGTGCTAATTAATGGAAACACTTCCTTCAACAGCTTAGTTGGAATTGGGTCTAACATGCACGTTGATGGTTTAGAAGAGAGAATCATTGAATTTAATTGTTCAAGGTTTATGGCTGAAAAGCATTCTAGTTTACTATCTCGTGTAATATTAGAACTTAGGTTTTCGGGAGCTGTTGATAACACTATACTGGTCAAAGGCAAGAGGTCATTAATTTTGTTTCTAAGAGTAACAATTTTATTATCGTTAAAAAAGCACATAAAATAATTACTACTGAGTGCTATGGGAATAGAAGGCTCAATCGAGCTATGGCTCTCTGTCAGCCTGGCTACAGTGCTGAAAAGAAATCTTGCATTATTCTTATTCTCATCTATTAATGAAGAGTAGTAGGCTGCTCTCGCTTTACGCAGTGCTTTCTTATATTCATTGAGAGTAATATGCCAAATTAAATGAGATTCTTCAAGTTTAGTGGAACGCCATATCCTTTCAAGTTGTCTCGACTTTTGCTTTATTTTGCGGGTTTCGGCATTATGCCATGGAGCTAATCTATGTTGTTTTATTTTCTTCTTTTTCAAAGGAGCAACAGAGTCTAATTTTATTCGCAGCGCATCTGTAGCACTATTAACAACATGATCAATTTGAGGTGGTGTACATTTTGTATAAGTTTCCTCCCCTACATGCAGACATGCTATCGAGTTAAGTATTGGTGGAATCTCTTCCTTAAATTTGGCTATAGCACTAACAGATAGGTTTCTGCTGCAGGAGCTTTTGACTAATGCTTTGTAGTCTAGTAACAGTACTTCAAAAGTTACTAAGAAATGGTCGGATAAAGCAGGATTATGCGGTTCGACTAATAGTTGCTCAATTTCAATACCATAAGTCAGAACAAGGTCGAGAGTGTGATTATAGCAGTGGGTTGGTTTATTTACACTCTGACAAAAACCAACAGAATCTAATATAAAGTTAAATGCAACAGTAAAGCTATTTTTATCATCGTCAACATGAATATTAAAGTCACCTACGATAATTACTTTATCTGTTTTAAGTACCAAAGTTGATAAAAACTCAGAGAATTCTGATAAGAATTCTGAATAAGGACCTGGTGCACGGTACACTGTAACAAATAAGATTGGCTGCAAAGTTTTCCAGGTCGGATGCGTAAGACTAAAAACGAGACTTTCAAAGGAGGTATAATTTAATTTTGGTTTAGTATTGATAAGTAAACTTGAGTCAAAGATTGCTGCAACTCCACCTCCTCGGCCCACGCCTCGAGCAATATGAGTATTGATATGGCTGGGTGGAGTGGCCTCATTTATGCTGACATATTCTTCATGTCTCAACCAAGTTTCAGTGAGACAGCATATATCAATATTATAATCTGATATTAAATCATTTACCAATATTGCTTTAGATGCTAGAGATCTTATGTTTAAGAGACCACATTTAATATTCCTGTTTTGTTGCACTGTAGTAGTTGTTACATTTACTTTTATTAGGTTATTATGTATGACACCTCTATTAGGTTGTACCTTCAATTGTCCTTGGGCAGACACACACACCGCTAATATT